GGGTTTTTGCCAGTGGCAAGGTGGTCTTGACCCTGACCTCAGGTGATCCACCTGCCTCGGCCTCACCAAAGCACTTGGCTAATTTTTTTTTTTTTTTTTTTGAGACAGAGTCGTTGCTCTGTTCCAGGCTGGAGTGCAGTGGCATGATCTCAGCTCACTGCAACCGTCTGTCTCCTGAGTTTCAACGCAAGTCTCTGGCTCAGCCTCCCAAGTAACGTGCGCGGATTACGCAACAGGCGCCGTGCCACCATGCCGGTTAATTTTTTGCATTTCTAGTTAAAACTGGGGTTGTCACCATCTTGGCAGGGCTGGTCTTGAAACTCCTGACCTGTGATCCACTCTGCCTCAGCCTCCAACTGGATATTAGTGAGTCACCTAGCCACAACACATATGGGACCCTTACTATATTTATGTTATACAATACGGAACAAGAGTCTACACATAATTAGATTGACCAACTGATACTTTAGGGAAGACTCCATGAACTACGAGAATAGGATAACCATAACAAACAGATACTAACAACACTAAAGTAAAAGGAACTGACTACCTTTCAAGCCACATGCTGGCTCCATTTTATATTATAATCATGACAAAATAGGGAGTCTATTGGAAGTGAACAATAATGTTCTGTTTTTTTTTTTTTTTTCAGATGGAGTCTTTGCTTTGCTGCCCAGGCTGGAGTGCCAGTGTATGACTCCTCATGCTCACTTGCAACCTCTGCCTCCCAGGTTCAAGCGATTCTCCTGCCTCGTACTAAAGCCTGGTTTTCAGGTCCACATGCTTGACTTAAAACTTTTTTTTTTTTTGAGACAGAGTCTCACTCTGTCACCAGCAGGGTGTGCGGTGCAGTGATACAGCATCCTTGGCTTCCCTGCAACAATCCGCCTCCCCAGTCCAAGCGATTCCACTGCCTCAGCCCCTCCCTGAGTAGCTTGTGATTTCAGAAGCGTGCCACCACGCACAGCTAATTTTTGTATTTTTAGTAGAGACAGGGTTTCACCATGTTGGTCCAGGTCTGGTCTCAAACTGCCTGACCTCCATGACCCGCCACCTTGCTCTAAAGTGCTGAGATTATAGGGCCTGAGCCACTGGGCAGCGCGCCAGTGTTAATCATTTTTTTTTTTTTGTTTTGAGACCGGAGTCTCCGGCTCTGTCGCCCAGCTGGAGTGCAAATGGCTGGATCTCCCAGCTCACCCTGCAAGCTCCGCCTCCTGGTTTCACGGGCCATTCTCCTTGCCTCAGCCTCCCAAGTAGCTGGGACTGAGCAGGTCGGCCCACCGCACCTCCGCCCGCCCTCATTTTTTGTACCGATTTTTTTTTAGTAAGCCAGAGCGGGTTTTCAAACGTGTTAGGCCAGGCGATGCGTCTCGATCCTCCCTGAGCCTCCGTGCGATGCTGCCCGTCTCGGCCTCGGCACAAGTCGTGCTCGGGATTGCATAGGCCCTTGAGGGCCACCGGGGCCCGGGCAGTGTAATTTTTTGATAATTTTTGCGTAGGAACAGGGTTTTGCCATTGGGCAGTGCTGGTCTAGGACTACAACCACGACTAGACTCGAAAAGTGATCTCCACCGCTGTGGCCACCACCTTCATCCAGCCTCCGCGACAACAGTGCTGAAGAGATTACAGGACATGAGGACACCTACATGCGTGGCCCGTCCGAGGGGCTGGGGACATCTTGAGTTTGCCCAACCACGTCACGCCCACCCCCAGTGCTTCCTTCTTTGGGGGACCCCGAGGCAGGGAAGGACACAGCACCACACCATGCACCCACCCACAACACACAGTGCTCATGAACAGGCGCGCTGCACGGCCGCCGCAAACTACTTTCGGGTTGTTCAGGCTTCATCCTCCCACCGTCTTACTGCCAACTTTTTTTCTCCTTCGCGTCTGGCCCAGGGAGGTTCTCAGCCGGAAGGCTGTTGGCGCCGGCTCGGCCATGGTGGTAGTCTGTGTGTTTCAGGGTCTGTCTGGGGGGCGCGGGGGGCGGCGGGCGCAGACAACAGACACCTCAGCGCTCCTACATCCCGAAGGCCACCGCGGAACCTCTGCTACAAAGCAGGGCACCAGCAGTTCAGGGCGCCGCTTTCCCTCCTCTGATGTTTTAGCTGGGTCTACCTACACGCCTTTGTCTTTCTGTGCTTTTTCTTGTTTTTTTTGAGTTTTTTTTTTTGTTCTTTTTTTTTTGGAGAGGCGGACGGTCTCGCTCCGGGGCGGACCTCTGTCGCCCAGGCGTAGGAGTAGCAGTGGCTGGATCATCCAGCCACTGCAAGCTCCGCCTCCCCCGGGTTCACACGCCAATTCTCCTGCCTCAGCCTCTCCGAAGTAGACTGGGAAACTTACATGGCGGCCCTAACCACCCATCGCCGGCTAAGTTTTTCTATTTTTTAGTAAGAGACAGACTGGGGTTTCACTGTGTTAGCGGATCTCGATCCTCTCTGACCGTCCCTCGTGATCGACGCCGCGCCGTCTCGCGGCTCCCAAAGTGCTGGGATTACGAGGCCCTTGAGCCACCGCGCCCGGCCGTACCCTTGTCTCTTCTTGTCTTATTAATTGCTTGGAGCCCGGGTGAGATTTCTTTCTAGTGCTCCTCCCCATTCGCTTGGGCAAAAGCCCCAACGCCCCTGGCATGAGGACTTTAAGACTCTTCATGCTGCCCACTGCCTCCCCGGCAGCCTGCACTTCCCTACCTCTCCAAGCAATGACTGCAAAATAAAATCTCCAAGCAAGGCGGGCAGGAATGCACTGGAAGTACAGGCAGTGGTCCAAGACCAGCCTGGTCAACATGAAAAAGGAAAGAAAACATGTTCAGTGAACCACATGGTTGAAGGTTGGATCCTGCTGTCTACTATTCATTTAGTAGGTGCTGCAGTTAATCTCCAAAAAAAAAAAAAAAAAAGAAAAAGAAAAAGAAAAGGTAGTAGAACCAGTAAAAATCAGAGAGAAGGGGCCCTGAACTGCTGGTGCTGCTTTAGAAGGTTCCGGTGCCTGGGGATGTAGGAGCTGATGTCTGTCTATCTTCCCCCCAGACAGACCCTGAAAACACAGACTACACCATGGAGCACGGAGCCACGCGGAACTTCCAGGCTGAGAAGCTCCTGGAGGAGGAGGAGAAGAGGGTGCAGAAGGAGCGGGAGGATGAGGAGCTGAACAACCCCATGAAGGTGAGTTGGGGGCCGTGCAGGTGTTCATGAGCACTGTGTGTGTGGGTGGGTGCATGTGTGTGCTGGGGGGTGTGCCCTTCCTGCCTCGGGTCCCCAAGGAAGGAAGATGGGGTGGGGGACGTGGTTGGCAAAACTTCAAGATGTCCCCAGGAGGCCAGGCATAGTGGCTCATGCCTGTAATCTTAGCACTTTGGGAGGCTGAGGTGGGAGGATCACTTGAGGTCAGTAGTCCTAGACCAGCCTGGCCAACATGGCAAAACCCTGTTCCTACGAAAAATTTAAAAAATTAACACTGGCCGGGCGCGGTGGCTCAAGCCTATAATCCCAGCACGTTGGGAGGCCGAGACGGGCAGATCACGAGGTCAGGAGATCGAGACCATCCTGGCTAACACGGTGAAACCCCGTCTCTACTAAAAAAAATACAAAA